AAACCACAAGGTCAATAGTTCGAATCCACTAGCCCCTCCTCAGAAGAAAAGTTACGGTTTCTTCTCCTGTAAAGATTGACTGCCTTGGAAACTTAAAGGGGCAATTTTCTTTGTCTTATGGGATGCTTTGAGTCAGAATTGACTCCGTGACAGTGGGTTTGGTTATATTGTACTGACGTTTCTACTGCAGTCTATACTGTACTGAAGGTTCTAATGCAAACTGAAGAGAGCCGAATAAAACCAATGACCAAAGTTAGTGTATTTGAAAACTTTGAGGGGTCACAGGAATATGACCTCTTGAAGTGGAGCAAGTCCCAGCCTCCTTAAAGATGCTCCACTACTCAGCTCTGGTCTGATGCTGCCTTATATGAATGTACGTTTATCCAAATTTGTCCCTAGAATCAGATTTTAGGGAGAAGTATAGCATTCATATGCTTATATTTGTGTATATTCAAAGGAACAATTTGGCTTTATAGCACTTTAAGAGACCATTTCAAGCGGATTGGCCCAATGGAATATATCATTTTCTTTCCTGACCGCTGCTTCCATGGGCATTGGTTGTGGAGCCAAGTAAAACACATCGCTTGACAATGTCAATATTATCTCCACTTACAACGATGGTTATTGTGTTTCCATGATAATGATGTATAATCTACACTGAAGGCTATAGTTGTTCACCTTCATTAAGTGCTTCAAGTCCTCTTGTCTTTAAGCAAGCAGACTTGTCATCTGCATATTGCAGGTTGCTAGTGAGTTTTCCTCCAATCCTGATGCCATGGTTTATTTTTCATGTTACTCTGCTTCTGTATTCTTTGCTCAGCATACAGATTAAATAAGTTTAATGAAAGTATACTCTCCTGATGCACACCCTTCTGGATATTAAAACAAAGAGCATTCCTTTGTTCTGTGGAACAGCTGTCTCTTGTTGTACATATAGGTTGCAGTGTTCTGATATTTCCATTAGTCACAAGAGTATCCATAACTTTTTATGATCCACAAGGTTGACGCCTTTTATTTCTCAATGCAACACAGGGAAATGCCATTCTGACATTCTCTGCTTTCAGCCTAGAGATGCCTGGCTTCTCCAGTGAGATTCTGAATTGCATTTGGGCTCTCGGTCACTGTACTGGAGCAACCATTTTGAATTAGCTTTACCGAAATCTTACTTTCATGTGATGTTAGTGATAGTGTTCGATAATTTCTGGTTCAATTTGGGTGACCTTTGTTTGGATTGAGCACCAATACAAACCTCTTCAGTAGATTTGTTAGGTAGTTTTCCTCAAAATTTGTTGGCATAGACTCGAATGTATCTATGTGTTGAAACATCTTGATTGGTCAATTCCTGGCTTCTTGTCATTTACCAATGCCTTCGCTACATCCTGGATTTATTAATTCCATGCCATTAATCCTTGATCACATACTGTCCCTTGAAATGATTTTCTCCAGTGCCTGCTTATATTACTTATATGTTCTGGGTCATCCAAATTTGTTTTGGTCCATGGGATCCTACAATCTTTCAGTTCAAAGCTCCCCACACCCATCAGCTCTTTCACTTTGAGACATGGTAAGTGCTTTCCACCTTTTGCTTTCTGAAGTTCAAGTTTTTACTAATTTTATTATATTATGCAAAGTACATATATAGAAGTATATAAAGAACTGATATAAACTATGTAAATAACAAAATGTGTACAATTATTATAAAGAATGATACACATCTTCACAAATACAAGCTAAATAAAGGAAGATATCAAATTCTATTTTTTAAGACACAGTATTGCCATTTTCAGGTGGAATAGAGTTGGTTCTGACTCATCGTGACCCTATGTGCAACAGAAGAAAACACTGGTCTTCGGCCATCTTCACAAATGTTCTTTTGTTTGAGCCCATTGTTGCAGCCACTGTGTCAATCCATATTGCCAAGAGTCTTCCTCTCTTGCTGCCCCCATCATTTATCAAGCATAGTGCCCTTTTCCTGGGATTGGTCTCTCCTAAAAACACTGGTCTCTCCTAAAAATATGCCCAGAGTACATGAGACTGGGAAGTGCTTTGTTTTGTTGATATGAGTCAGAACCAATTCAAGGGCACCTAACTACAACAGCCACCTCTGTATATTTACACACAGGCACACATGTAGATGTGCACATATATATTTCCATTATATATTGCATATAATATATATGGTATTTAGCAATACATGAGCAAGACAAATAAGCTAGAGTCACATAGAAAATAGATAATAATATCTATATTATCTTAAAAGAGTATCAAATGTCTATTCTTGTGGTGAGAGATGCATAGCATAAAAATTTAGGCATGTTTGAAAATATTTTCTTTTGGAAAAATATCCCATTTTACATGATTTCTTTTTCTTTGGAGGGGGGGACACAAAACTATAAAATCCAAAAATCATTCTTAGTGTCTTTGAATTACAAACATGTTCACACATATTTGGACCCACAATATGGTTTAAGGATGAAGGACGTAAAAGACTTTGAGTATTGAAATCTATCAATTATATGGCTTCTTTATTATACAGGCCTTAAAAATAATTTCCTTATTACACAGTCTTTGCTCAGAATTCATCCAATATACTTTTTATTAACAGATATTTTAATGAACATGTATGCAATATTTTTCTACCCCAGCCTGGGGGTCCAGGATACTTTTAGAACCTAAGGCATGACTGCTATTCCTTCTCTGATCCTTTCATCTGACTCAAGGTGGAGTGGTGTAAGGGTGAGAGAACTGTGAAATATTCCAAGAAACCTTGGGGCTGGATAACCTTCTCTTGGATTCCATACAGCCCACAGTGACCCAGTTATCTGAAGTGATTAGTGCCCAAATCCCTTCAACTCTGACTCACCCTGTTGTGTGTTGACACCCTAGTGAATTTCCCTTCTGGCTCTTGAATTTATGTTGTTCAAGAAGCCTCACACTCAAATGCACAGGTGGAGAAACTGAAAATGGCTTCCATTACCATTTAGATACATGGAATCCTTAGTAATATTTATTACTGAGATCAAGCATAGAATAATATGTGATGGATGTAGTTGTAAATTGTCCAACTGTTATGTTTCTTAGATTATGTGAATACTAACAAAATTATTTTGTAAAATCTTTCTACATTGAATAAAAACATTAGTCACTAATTTGGGGGGGAATATTTATCCTTCTTTTCCTTTAAATATTATTTTGTTATCCAAAAAAATATTGGCATGGGTTTACAAATACTAATTACCACAGTATTTTACCTAACAGTCTGAAAAATTTGAGTAAATGAGCAAGTATAAAATCAGTAGCAGCAACTAAAACAAGAGTGTGCACTTAAAGTGCATGCAGACATAATTTGAAGTATCATTGTAATTAGCTATAATGAAAACTCTGACCAGAGTGTATTAGGATGTTTCTAGAGGAATTAGTATAGAGTTTTAGCCTGATAGGTACATGTATATATATGGAGATATACATAAACTTGGCTTACAGCAATATTTTTGTTTTAAGCAACAATAGGGATGTTTTATTTTAAAATAATAAATTCCACTAAAGCATTGCACAAAAATTTTATATACAGTTATTTTCGTGTCACCTCCCTGACAGGGTTATCTGAGGCAATTTTCATCCCCTGGACTGCGTTGAGACACCACGGGGCTTCTTCTGCTTCTCCTTTCCTCTCTTGCCTTCTTCAAACTCCACCCTTGTCTCTCACTACGAGAGCTTCATTATTAGCTATAAAGGGTATAAATCATTTTTGTAGTTTTTGATGCTCATAGATACAGTTTAGTTGTACACATTTTGCTATAAAGTGTACCTTTGTGTGTGTGAAAACACGTGTGTCTGGAATAAGAGTAATGAACAAACTCCAGCAACGGTAAAAATTCTGATCTAACCTTTGTAATTGTGAAGAGGTATTGGTAGCGCACAATAGAAATGACATTACAAAGTGCGGTCCAAAGCCCATACCTGTTCCCATAGCGAAGACAATGACCATGACAGGAATCCTCATAACTAGGTGAAGGGTATGAACCTAGTCTGAGTATAAAGTAGAAGAATGGTTTGTGAGAATAGCTTTGGAAAGAGCCCCACCCCTTGTCTCACCATAGGAATAGAGGCATCCATGCCTCCCTGTTATGCCAGTACTCAGTTTTCTGTGTGTATGTGTCTCTGAATATGAGTTTATGTTTCTGTGAAGTAGCATGTGTTTGGCACTGCCTAGCCTGACAATAGGCTGGTATTATCCTCATACTTTGGTTTTTAATGATGCCAACAGGATTCATAGCTAAATATTCCAGCTAAATGAAATGTATTTGTGTACTTGCACATAAATGTGCACATTCATGCTGTAAGGGCATATTTTCCAGTACTGTTCTTACAAACCTGTACACCTCTGGTGGCTTAGTGGTTAGAAGGGGGACTGCAGTCAGCAAGGTCAGTAGTTAGAAACCCCAGGAGAAACATGGGACTGTCTACTCCCATAAAAAACATAGTTGCAGAACCTCATAGGGACAGTTTTACACTGCTCTATAGAGTTGCTGAGTCTGCATCAATTCTATGACCGTGAATTTGGGTTGCAGTGAGTTCTGTTAGACTAGCATGTGAACCTCCTTACTAGTGCGTACAAGGAACTGAGATAAGAAATTCTAGGCAGAAAGCAAGACTAGATGACTTAATAATACCAATGTAGAATTTTTCAGCGAGGCAGGCTCATTCACAGATTTGAAAATTGTCATCTCCTAGAATGATTCATCAACTTCTCATATTGGCAAAACAACCTTGATACTATTAGTTTCTTGGGGTTTTTTTTAAATGAATTAGCTCATGTTAGTCAAATTTATAAAGCAATAAAATAGGATTCAGAAAAAAAATTTTGGTGAACAAACACACGCACACAGTCATTCTGCCATTAGTCAGTACATTTTTGGTGTGGAGAAGAACTTCTACTGAGAGTTAATTTACCATATAGTGATTATCAAATGTGAAAAGAATTCAAAGAAGGGTCATTATCATTTATCAGAAAGGCTTATAAGCTCTGTTTTGCCACTCCTTCCCCACAAGGACTCAAGCAGAAATAAAATGTTCAGAAAATGATGATGGCAACATAAGTACAAATGTGCTTCATACAATTGATGTATGGATTTTTATAAGAGCTTTAAGAGTCCCAATAAAATAATTAGAAAAAAGAAAAGGAAGGGTTCAGAGCTTTAAGTCATCATACTATATCGATATGCACCGTCATGGAGCCCATTCTTCCTCACAGTTACTCCATCGAATAGAAGTGTTTCCTTTAAACTCTTTATAAGAAACTTTAAACTCTTTATAAGAACTGCAGCGTCATCTTTCTCCCATAGAGTAGCAGGTGGGTTTCAAAAGCTAATGCTGACCTTGTGACTCGCAAGTCAGTGAGGACCCGCTCTGCTGTCACCAGGATTCCTTGAAGCAATCACCGTTCAATGCAATCTTCTCAGAATCCTCAGTGCACATAACCAATATACACATACATCTATATTTGTTGTTTCCAGATACAAATTTTTACCTTTCCTGTCCACATAACCAAAACTAAGATGTAAAGGAAGTGTAAATTCAGTTCACCATAGATTTATTTATCAAATAAAGTCATAATTTACGACACCATAGCTTTTTCATGGCATTTTTCACTTCTGCATTCCTCAATGTATAGATCAGGGGGTTCAGTAAGGGTGTCCCAATTGTATAAAACACAGCCACCATCTTGTCTACTGGAAATGTCGTTGGCGGACGTGTATATATGAAGATACATGGACCAAAAAATATGACAACCACAATAAAATGGGAGGTGCAGGTGGAAAGAGCTTTTCGCTGCCCTTCTACACTGTGGTTTCTCAGGGAGTATAGAATGACAGCATATGATGTAAGCAATAGCATGAAACAGATAATGCATATGGCCCCACTATTGGATACAACTAGCAAATTTATCACATAAGTGTCCATGCAGGCAAGTTTCAATAAGGGCTGCAAGTCACAGAAATAGTGATCAATCACATTGGGACCACAGAAGGGCAATTTCAAAGCCAGGAAAATCTGTGCTGAAGAATGGACACAGGATCCCACCCAGGCCACAATCACCAGCACACCACAGACACGGCGGTTCATGATGGTTGTGTACCGGAGGGGTTTACAAATGGCCACATAGCGATCAAAAGCCATGAGGATGAGCACAAAAATCTCCATGCAGCCAAAAAAATGGGCTGCAAAGACCTGAGTCATGCACTCATTATAGGAAATAGTCTTCTTCTGAGACAGAGCATCCACAAGCAATCTTGGTGCGGTTGTTGTAGAAAAGCAGGCATCAGCAAAGGACAGGTAGAAGAGGAAGAAGTACATGGGACTCCCAAGGATCACACTTTTCTTAATAGTCACCACAATGAGAAAGTTCCCCAGCAGAGTCAAAAGGTAAAGAATCAAGAAGACCCCAAAAATTACTTCCTGTTTTTTAGCATCCTGTGTCAATCCAAACAAAATAAATTCAGTCACACTGTTATTCATCACCATATCAGCAACTGTAGATTGGATATCATTGATGAATTTTAATCTGAAGAGAAGAGGAAAAAAAGTGATGCTTTAGTACAATCAGTGGATCAAACCATGGATCGGTTGGCTCTGCTCTGTGGTCCGTTACATCCAACTGCCTTTGGTGGGCATCAGAATGCCTCAGGAATCTTCATGAATCTGTCCATGCTCGTCTCTCTTGGATTTACCTATTGATTCAGAAATTGACTAATTGGACCTACTCTTGTATTTGCGGAATACAATTAATAAATACTCTTCACAAATTTTTATTCTTACAAAAATTAGAAATTTCAGAGCTTGTTCTATCATTGGACTTTTTCTTATTTCTTTTCATTTGTCCTCGATATATAAAAAAACCAATGTCTGTGCTATCTTACTCTGAGTTATAATAAATTATTAAAGTTTATATTCACATATGTAAATGATTATATGTACATATCATGTATTTTTAATAGTATATATGTGCTTTGAAATCTGAAAGCACTATTCCAATATAACTAGGCACTAATAAATAGGCACGATGCATTGCATGAGTACCTTCTAAAGAACATCATCCTAGTTCTGTTCATTCACTTTT